GAGGGTTTCAGTCGTCGGGTCCCGCGTCCTCTCATCGCTTCATTCAACCTAAAAGGCCACCCCCACCGAAGGGTAGGTTTACTCCTACGCAAATGGGTTCCTTATGTCTGCATACGTTGAAATATCACTAATGCGGGATAACGTCTGAAAGTTCCTTTACCACCTCATCCCAAGTCGGCAGCTGATGAGACTTCACAATATGCCAGCATCTATTCAAGTAGCGGCTTCGATATAATGGGCGTCTTGGTAGGTTTTACCACTTGAATCCTGAAGCCAAGCGTCATAGAATGTTGGAGCGTCTGACTCTCACCCCTTGGTCTTCTTTGTAGGCCGAAGTAGTGTCGAGACCGAATCCTAAAATCAATATCGGCGCGGTTGATTTGTCGTGCGCGTTTGTACTCTGCGATATAACTAAAAATGATCACCCGATCATCTATGTCTCTGAAGCATTTGAACGACTTACCGGCTATACAGAACAGGAAATCGTGGGCCAAAACTGCCGGTTTCTTCAAGGGCCAGAGGGCGTTGTCCAAAAAGGCATGAAACGAACATTTGTCGATGACCAAACCACCTCGCGTTTGCGGTCCACAATCGAGGACCGAACGGAGATTCAGGCCAGCCTCATCAACTACCGGAAGGGTGGACAGCCATTTATGAACCTGATATCAATGATTCCCATTCGCTGGAACTCCCAGGAATATCGCTTCTACGTGGGGTTCCAGGTTGATCTTGTTGAGACGCCCGACGCCGTCACGAGGAGAAATCCGAGTAGGATCCAAACCTGATGGTGTCCAACATATCAAACTGACCAAGTTATACAGATGGTACTTATACGATCAACTACCAACGGAACCGGCTGCCAAATTATGTCGTACCGCCTCCTGACATATATCGATCGCACCCTGATCTAGTCACTTGGTTCAGGACCGACCAGGTGTCAACCATCCTAAAGAGTCTCGATAATTCAACGTTGACCTATAGAAGCTACCTGGATCGCATACTAGTTGAGAACACAGATGACATAATACATGCTTTATCGCTCGAAGGCGAATTTCTCTACCTGTCCCCGTCTTGCCGAAAAGTACTGGAGTACGAGCCGATTGAACTTGTGGGCAAGACACTGTCGACGGTCTGCCATCCTAGTGATATTGGTCCAGTCATCCGCGACCTACGGGCCTGCACCACCACTGAGCCGGTTAGTGTCGTGTTTAGAATACGGAGGAAACGCAGCGGATATATTTGGTTTGAGAGTCATGGTTCGTGGCGCATGGGAGAACGGGGGCGACAGTTCATGGTCCTTGTCGGACGGCCTCGTCTCGTGTACTGTCTTGACCATATTACGAGCATAGGACAAGGTAGCTTGGCTGAAACTGATGTGTGGGTCAAGTTGTCAAAGTCCGGGATTGTTCTGTTCATGACCTCTAAGGCGCGCCCGGTGCTGGGTCGTATGCCTGATGAGCTGATTGGCAAAAGTTTGCAAGATCTGATGGATTCGCGGGTGGAGGTACAGAAGGCTCTGAGAGTGGCTCGTACGGGCCAACGGGCCACTTTCAGCCATAAAATCCGTCACAAGAAGGGCCATATGCTGCCCGCGCAGACCACTCTATACCCAGGAGATACCAAGGAAGGCATTAGACCCTCGTTCCTTGTGGCCCAGATTAGTTTCCCAAAACCCCCGCAGGGAGGCAATGATGAGTCGAATTCAGCGCCCCCGCCGAACAGAAACTTGCGTGATTTGAATATTCATCGGCAATCAGCTTCAGGTGTTTCTGGCATAGCAGGACAAAACCTATTGGCTTCCAGTAAACCAGCCAACCCCCAGGTTCAAGAGCTTCCATTTTTCACAGAGCTGGTGCCAACAAGGGGTTCAAGCTGGCAGGTTGAGCTTCGGGAATTGGAAAAACAGAACCGAACGCTGTCCGATGAGCTGCAGAAATTGCTTACGCGCAGAAAGAAGCGAAAGCGCAAGCAGAGCGCCGCATCGGTAGAGAAAAGTTGTGCCATGTGTCAGACCAAAAAAACACCCGAGTGGCGCCGTGGGCCTAGTGGGGAGCGTGACCTTTGCAACAGTTGCGGATTGCGCTGGGCTAAGCAAGTCCGTAACGCAGCACAGGTGGCAGGAAGGCCCAATGCGTACTGAATGAAAAAGAAAAGGAAAGAAAAGAAAAGAAAAGAAAAAACCAAAAAGCCACGACTACTACTACTCCTACTATTATTATTATTACGTTTTGTTCTAATATCCTGATATTAGCGTACGATACCATTTTTCGATCCTTTGCATGAGGGTATACGATATCTGTGGCGATATATAAGCGTTATGTAGGGGGAACTGCGGCGTATAGCGGACTGTCTGGGCGAACATGAATCAATGGCATGTTTTACAGTAAAATCCCTTCCTCCCTTCTTTCAACAGCACTTTCGCTTGCTATGGTGATCGTTCAATGCATCTCGAGAGTCTAGATTATAGTATGATAAGTAGCCCATCGTTGAGGGTAAACGAGACAGGTTACGTCTAAATATCTGTATCTATATGTATAACACAGACCCGCTAGTTTACAGAGACAGATTGAACCCACAGTATAATACATGGAATAAACCAACCTACCTCCTCTCTAGCCATTTCTCTAGCCAGCGTCTCTCCTCCCTCTCCGCATCCCAGCCTTCTTTACCCTCCGTCACACCAACACCACCGCGCTCCTCCACTGCAATCCTGACCTCTACACCCTCCATCGCTCGAACACCCCCACAGCGTCTAATCAACTGATCATCCAAAGACAAGTACTCTGCATACCGCCGCAGCCTCGCCCGATACAGCGACATCAACCCGGAAGGTCGAGTATGTGTCTTCGCTAGATTCAGCACCGCACATGCGCGCAGGATTTCCTCGGCACTCGCACTCTCGATCCATTCCAGATTTGTATACATCTTGACCAGAATATCCAGCTCTACATCCGATCCCGCGACAGGCGGCGTAACGGATCCACTCGTGGCTGCCTGCTGCGCGACCAAGGCGGCGCGTTTCCGGGCCACCCGCTGCACGCGGTCCTTCTCCAGTTGCCGAGGGACACGGCAGGTGAACGGCGTGACGGCGTTCCCGAAGGCTAGGACAGCCAAGGGTGTCATCTCCCCGCACACGATGAGAATGAGAGTGAAAGGGATCATGCGCCGGACATCATAGGCAGCGCGACGAACCAATTGGAAGCTTGAGCGGCTGAGTTGAACAGACTCGATTGCTTTGCGCAATGCAGTGCTCTTCTTACTCTGAGAATTGGACGACGGCGGAGCAGGCGGAGGAGAGGTAGGGAGGTAAGCGGGGAGACCGAGCGAGCGACGGATAGGCAAGGAGGCGCGATAGTTATGGTAGACGTTTTTGAGGCCGGTTTTGTAGAAAGAAAGATATGCGCGACCCATTGCGATATAACGTTTTAACTTATCGGCCGTTGCGGCGGAGCGTGAAACCGGGTCTGGAAGGTCGAGATCGGCCGGGCGAGTGCTCGGTGGCGGGTTGACATCGTTGGCTAGAGATGTGGTTGCAGTTGAAGATGTAGAAGGGACTCTGGACGTGGCTGGCTGGGCGGAGGAAGATGGACGAGTATGAGTTTTGGAAGATGAAGCGTGGCCACGGGAGGTAAGGTAGATATCGCGCCGCCGAAGGTGATGCTGAGGAAGAGCTGAAAAGGGGGTAGAGAACAACGGATAAGACCGGGTGACAAGGGCCTTCTGGGCACCGAGAGAGGATGACATTCTCCCAAAGTATGGAGGGGGGAGGGGGTTGAAGGGGAGAAGGAATTGATTGCTCGAAGGCTGATGTGATACCAAGAGGACCGGAGTGTTGGATGCCTAGGGCATTCAAGATAGGAGACCAGGCTCTTCAGGCGCCGAGGCAGGCAGGCATGCTACATTACTTTCCTTGCTATGTTGTCATCGACTTTCGACGCAACATGCTTGGAAGGGAACGAACTGATCTTCTTTGGCATTCGATGTCATCGTGATATTAGTCATGGTCAAGGTGACAGCAATGACTCACTCTCCATGGTCTATTCTCTATAATTGGGATTGATTTATCTCACCTTTCCAACCATCACGGATACTACAAGTTGTATATACACACACACACACACACACACACAAATAAACCATGTCTCTTGACTGGAGTCTCCCCACAGCGCTGGTGCTCATCGACAACCAAGCAGCCTTCACTCACCCAACTTACTGGGGGACCTCCCGCTCCAATCCGTCCTACGAGGACAACATCCAATCTCTCATCCAGGCCTTTCGAGCCGCCATCAAGAACCAAACTGGAGGGGGAAACGCCAAGGAAATCATTCATATCTTCCATTCGTCGACTACCCCAAATTCCCCTCTCCACCGCAATGACCCCGGAAACGGTATCCAGCCACTTGATGTTGCCCAGCCGGCGGCTGACGGATCTGAAGTGATTATGTGGAAGTGTGTCAATTCAAGCTTCATAGGGACCGACCTGGAAGTGCATCTTCGTACCCGAGGGATTCGACAGGTTCTTTTTGCCGGCCTCACAACAGACCATTGTGTATCGACCACGGTACGCATGGCAGCGAACTTAGGGGTCGTGGACCGGTACCCCGACGGGCCCTCGGCACTTGACCCAGAAGATGGCATGCCTAACCAGGCCCGCGTGGATCGGGGGCGCATCGTACTTGTTGCTGATGCTACGGCAACTTGGGCAAAGGGGGGCTTCGATGCTGAGACTGTCCATGCCGTTTCAGTGGCGAGCTTAGAAGGCGAGTTCGCCGACGTAATGAAGACGGAGGATGTTGTGAAAGCTTTGAAGCAAATGAATTGAATCGATTTCGAGCAATGATGTTACACCTCGAGGTATCTTATTGGCTAGCCATTTATACTTTAAGTCATGTTCCATCAATCAATCTGCTTTCGTGTCGCCTCGGCTCTGAAATCCATATGGTTTAATTTAGTGGACATTCCCCATATCCCATCACCACAGGGCACTCGCCCTTGGAGCATTATAGCAAGACTTCAACAGCAATAACACTTTCTGAGACAAAGCCGGTTACGAACAGCCACGCTTTCTTCTTCTCTTGGGGCTTCGGCTCAATGGGGACTAACAATGCTGTGCTACTCGACCTAATGTTCGTTCCGTCATCTTCAAATATCAAGCGAGTCTCCCATTCTACAGCACCCCCTTCTTCCTTTGTGGCCTTGGGACGTGTATACCACACCATAGCACCGTCCTTACCATTTGGATCGGCATGATTCTTAGCTACGTCGATGGTTCGTAGTAGCCCTGCGAGCACGTAGCCACTGGCGTCATCAGAGGAAGTCCGGTATGGGTCCGCATAATAGCTCGGGTTGTCGATAGAACTATCGAAATGAACCTCGTCCACGATAGAGATATTGTGGGTTTCAGGATTCGTCCGGCCACGATACATTATCCCGCCGATGGCATTAGAGATGAGTAGTTCCCCCTCCGATTGGCCATGTCCAAGACCGTTGTTGTTTTGTAATCCAGTCAACGCCACTTTAGCATCAACGCCGGTTTCTGCCTGCTCTGATTCAAGGCTGTCCAGTTGAATATGCACGATGTTAGACCACTTGGCTGCAGGAAAAAGATCTTCGATTTGACGCTTGAAGCCCTCACGGTAGAAGTGGTCATTAGTAACATAAAAGGAGAGAGGACTCTCAGCAATAATGTCATTTGGGGTAGCGATCAGTGAATGCCTGATGGAGCGCACATGCCGGACCGTGTTAGTTTCAAGAACATGATGAAAGAGCTCAACCTGCGAGCGCGCCTTCGGAATTTCCTGGGAATGTAGACCAGCATGGTAATACGCCATGTTTGGCAAATGGTTCACAGCAAAGATATAGACGGCATCGGGACTGTCCGGGTCTTCCAGGACTTCTATCCCATGCGTGATTAAGGGGCCAGCGAAGTTTTCAAAGGCTAGACGTGTCGATTTCATGGTCTAGACAGGATACACTCGATTCAGTTCCACACCTTGAGAGCGAAAGATATGGACAAGCTCACCCTGGGATCAATGACATGGATGGACCCAGTCGAATCCACCGGCCCTTCGAAGTTCCCTAAGGGAGGAAACCACTTGAATCGGGGCAGCACAGAGTCTTCACAGGCAGTGAAGATCTTATGGGAAGGCATGTAATAATGTAGATCTTCACATTGCATCGTGTCTTCAATTCTGTGGAAGGCCTGTTGCTCTGCCAATCTTACCTCGTCTGTGGCTTTCCGGAGCACTCCCAACACAGTCAGCTGCCGGTATACAGGGCCGTAGAACGTCGCCACCAAGATGGTAAGGATAGCAAGATTGAGTAAACTCCCCATGGCGGTGATACACTTTCCTTTATCGTCTATGAGCGGTACCGCTTGGGGTTTCTCTCAACAGTACCAAGGATGGTATGCCAGTAGACGAGGAACAGAAAGGCGGCGATAGTCGTAGCTTTCACCGATACTATCAGATCATCCAGATTTATATTGTGGTTGGAAAGAGCGGAAGATCCTACTCGGCAGGTGCGATTCTTCGATGAACACGTCCATTTAGTCTCGGAGGGATGGTGAGCAATTTTATGGGGGAGTGCCGGCCCCTCCAAGGGATCAACAACAATGTACTCCATACGGTGTGCATAACTCCTACTGTCCATACTCTGGAGGACATCCAAAGACGGGAGTGGAGCGTAACTGAGGCGACCGACAAATCAACAGGTTGTTGCGACTTTGGGCCGAAAAGAACCTCGGAATGTGGAACACAGTTGAGGAACACTGTGGAGAAAGGAAGGAAAAAAGTAAAAAGATCGTCACGGTTGGGGAGGAGAGAGAGAGAGAGAGAGAGAGAGAATGGTCTACCCGAGAAAACTTAATTCATTTTGTCTGTTTTGTTGTTTGTTTGTCATTCCGACCTCCATGTTAGGCAGTTCCAGAACAGCTTCTTAGAGGAGGAGATGTAGTATTATTATCCCTTGAATAGCCACACGCAAAATCAAATTAGACAATGGATGAATAAAGGAAAAAAAAATGATAATCCCAAACTGGCTTTCAGATTTTCTTTTTGCCAATCACACTGCAAATTGCTTTCATCCTTACCTGACCCACTCCTCCTTTTCATAGGACAAGATCCGTCGAGATCAGTGCCTGACCTTCATGGTAGCCACCGATAGCAAGGCCTAACAGAATCACTCACGCGACTTGACATCCATAAATTCCTGGTCACTGGCATCCAAAATGTCATACTCTTCATCAGTTAAGAACCCATTCTCCGTTTCATGATCACCCAACGACAGACTCTCCACATCTTCCAGGACATCTTGCTCAGACGGGTTGGACACGGAGGGAGCCACTGGTGCTACAATACCCCCTTCATGGGTACTTGCGTCAGGGGACTCCTTCTCCAGTTTAGGGAAGATCATATGGCTTTCGGCGCGTTCCGAGCCGTGTGCTCCCTCCGGCTCCAAGCCAGATGGAGATGGGCCTTTGATAGAAGGTACATTTTCCCGTACTTGGATTTCACACCACAGTCTATGACCGAAGGGCATGCCATTTGGGAGCTTCAGTCGCCAGTACGAGATGGCGGTACCTACTCGACTGGGAGCTTTGAGTGTTACAGTGAAGTCGGCGCTCTGGCCGGGCTCTAGCGGCTCTGGCAACTTGTTGCTTTCCATAGCAGCAGAGATAGAGTCCAGACTCAAAGGGTGGTTGGTATCGACATTGAACATTGAATCACCACCAACAAAGCGCACGTCACTTCCAGCAGGCCACGCAAGCGGGCCGGGGTTATAGAGAGTCCAGGTCTGACGGAACACCTTGTTAGGCGACATAATGGTGCTGTCAGGTACAGTGTCACGCACGAATAGAGCGTCGTATCCGGAAGCCGCATTGTTAGTGGACTTCTCAGTTTTAATTGGCTGCTCCTTCGAAAGTGGACGTTCCTGCTTCACGGTCTCACTGTCTTGTGATAACCCCGACTCTTCTTTAACGGGCACATCGGGGATACAGCGTTCGGGTTCCACCGAATTGATGGCTTGGGTCGATGGGGATCTTTGAGCATGATCGCCAAGGGCGACTGTAGATCCTCCGAATCTATCCTCTTGGAGTGTACTGATAGTAACATTGCGAACAGGAGTCTTGAGCATGACCATTGGGTGAGTTCGGTTATGCGTATTGGTCGGAAGCGCCTCACAACTGGCGCAGAAATCGAGATCGTAGCACACAGAGCATTTGTAACGGACCCCAGTTATATATCCAGGGACTGCCTTGTTCTTGCAAAGGGGCCCATCACAGAAGATGCCATAGTGGACCTCATGAGCCTGAGATGGCTCAGATATGGCCTCATAAATTGGAGCGAATCGATGACCAGGATGAGTCTCTGGCGCATTTGAAAAACACTCAGAGCAATAATCCCAATCAGGACAGGTGAGGCACTTATGGCGCACACCGACGACATTCTAAAGATGTGTTAGTTTACAGTCACGAATTCACAATTACATAACCCACCTTCTCGCAGCCATCACAGATGGCGGCATGTTGATAGCGGCGTCCAGGTTTACAGCGTGACAAAACCAAATTCTTCAGACAGAAGGGCCCGTCATGAAGAAGAGAAAAGTTGTGAGCTGGGTGATGACCATGGGCATCCTTCAGAAGGCATGTGATACAAAGATCATAGTCCTTGCACTGAAGGCAAGTGACCATTTTGGTTTCGTTAAACTCTGTCTCTAATTAGTATACGAATAATATGCCTTAGGAGCCGCCACATAGAGGGGAGGGGTATAAGAAACATAGAGAGAGAAACGTACCCTTGAGACAAGCATTGCAAATCCGGGCTTCCGAGTGGATAGGGACTTCAACAACAACTGGTGAAGTCTTTGGAGTGTCTTCAGAGACGGATTCTGGGACAAACTTTGATTTCTGTTCGACCTTCTCGGGGGACTCCTCGGGACCATCAGTCTGGAGCTTTCGAGGAGCAACAGTCTCTGTGGTGCTGTTGGTGACAATGCCATCTTTAACGATGCGTCTAATTAACCAGTGGTCCTCATTTGGACAGGTAACACCCGAGTCTACACAATGGAGACATAGGTCATAATCACCATCATCACAGATACTGCAGTGATAGTGCTCATTAGGAATAGATAAACCACAATGATTGCAATCAATGCAAAAGACACCTGTGGGAGACTTATGTGAGACCACGGGGGTGTTGAGGTTATCCTGGCCCAAGCTAAAGTCTTGGTGTGGTGGCTCAGGAGCTACAACACCCGTATTAGACCATTGCATGGCCCCAGGCTCAGTTTCGGTGGGCTTCACAGCATCATGTGGCGATTCGGAAACAGCTTTAGCCGACCCTTCAGGGAGCGGAGAGCTTAATACTGTTTGAAGGTAGCTGTATCTCACCTGATCCTGGTGCTCAGAGGAATCTTCTGCGGGTAATGGTGATTGAGAGGTAGTAGTGTCAACCTCCGTAACTCTGATTCGAAGTTTCAGTTTGGCCTTTGCAGCACGGTAGAGTTGCTTGTAGACAGCACTGTTTTCGCTGTCCAGGTGGATATAACAACCGGCGCTGTCAGATAAACGTTCGAGAGTGACGTTAACATCTCTCGGGATGCCAAGAAGCTGACGGAGCTACATACGAGAATCACATCAGTAATGAGGCTAGAAGATTTAGTAACTCTGTGTGGGAAATATCTTTTAATTATTTCTTTTTATTTCCAGAGAAATTAAACCTCGGTGACGGAAGCCTTTCAAAGTGGAAATTTCCAAGAAGTAAAGAAGATCTACACCATACAAGGGAAGACTGTAAGCTCCGGTCGGAGCTAGGGTGGAGACGCACCTTTTGGGGGAGAACACGAGCTTCAAGCTCTTTTAGAGGGATTTTGAAGCGACGAGTATTGTCATTGTAAAGCACCTTGACCGTGATTAAGGTATTCGGGTTGACGGAAGTAGCCTGGGACGCAGAGGTCGACATGATGTTTTCAAGTTTCCCTAGACGATGAAATCACTTGAGATCCCAAACATGCCCCTAGAGATAAGGAAGCGGGCACGCTAGTGATGAGAAAGGATAGATCAGTGATAAGTATCGAGCTACCTGGATGGCGTTGGTTGAATGAAATGACTGTGGGATGGAGGCGGAAGAAAGTGATGATGATGATGATGATGATGACGATGATGTAAATAAGATTGTTGGAAGTGAAGTCAGGTAGGTAAAGTAAGAGAAGAAGAGGAGAGGAATCGATGGATTAAAGGGCGACGCCTTGACGGGGGTAGGTGGTCATCTGCTTTGCTGCATTCGGCGGGGGGCGGTGAAGCCCAGTAGGCTTCCGGGGCATCCCCGTTGGTGGTTGGCTGGTGGCTGCTGAGAACCTAAGTTAGTTAACCTTTGGCACTAAGTTCCTACTAGTAGTGCTCCAGAGTGTGTATGTAATATAATAACCTGGAACTACGTCACATACCCTACAGACATACTGCATGCCTAGCTTTAGAACCCTGTGGAGGTACGGTATGTACATGTACATCTTCCTGACACAGACCTTTAGTGGTCATTGATCGGCTTGCTGCCAATAGAATAGGGGCCTTCAAAGGGCCCCATTCAAACGACGTAGTTTTTCTTCATTGCTTTACTTCTACTACTGCCTGCTACCACTGACCTTTGGCCTCCTCCTCAACTCCTTTCTTCCCTTTGCATCCATGCTTACAGGTAGTACAAACGTCAATAGCACCGGCCTACATTGGATAGAGATACTCATGGATCGACATGCGAAGTTGTGTCAAACTACAGAAAGCCTTGATAGCACACATTACTCCAAAATCAATCCCTGGAGGGTGCGACTGAAGTATCTGCCCGGGCTCGTTGCAGAACAAACCGCTAATCACCAGCTAAAAATAAAAATAAAAAACCATTGTCGTATCATCCTTCAGATGAAAATGATGGTATCCTTATAAAACGTGAGACATCTTCCGACATAGATCCGTTGACAACAGACAATGATGAAAAACAAACGCTGAAAATATGCATGAAATCCTAATCTAACCGCGATTAAGACAGCGGATGGGAGGAGCAGAACAGACAAGACCGTATCCGAAAGGAAGAAAGCGAAAGAAAGCCCCAGCAAAAAGCACATCGTTCAAAGCTACTAAGGATATGAACGGTCATCATAGATTTTAATGGTAAACATTTAGCATCGCAACAAAGTATGGATAGTGAAAACAAAGGAGGAAAAAGAAGGAAAATAAAGCAAAAGGAAAAGGAGAGAATTGCAAACGAAATTGATCACGGAATGATACGAACGAAGACGAGAATGATATTTTGTGTTAAAATGAGGGAGGAAAAAAAAAAGAAAAGAAGAAGAAAAATAGTTCCACACAATGGCATGGGCATTGTGTGTTTTACTGGGCAGGGTAATAGACACCCCCCTGAGGGTACGGATAATAATAGAATGGAACTGGAGGCGCGCCCATATCCATAACTGCACCGATCCCAGGTGCAGCAGGCATTGCATATGAGGAATTAGGAGGCATTTGTGTGGTGTCGTAGAAATATACTGTTCCACCAGCTTCGTGTGCAACGGTGCCTGACAGTGACGGTTGTTCTGTCGAGCCATGGGAAGCGGGAATCACATATGGGGCTTGTCCAGGTGGTAAAGGCGGTACAGATGGCCCAGGTCCCACAGCGGAGTTATATGGTGGAAACTCCGTTCCCGAGCTAGGATAGTAGATAGCACCTGGTGGATAGGAGGCAGGCCAGAAGGCCTGTTGGTATGCAGGCATATGAGACGGGGCATGGAACGTACGATCTTGTTTGTGGAGAGTTGGCGTTAAGGATCTGTGAGCGGAAGGAGGGGGGTGACCAGAGGCATCAGGACCATAACCGGAACCATTTGCAGACACTGGGACCTGATGATGGAATGGTTGTTCCTGTTGTGGTTGGGGAGGATTGAACGGGAATCTCGCCGGTGTTTCAATATCGGCGAGGGAAACTGCCTTCTGCGGACGAGGCTGATGCATGGGTATCGGAGCCGGACGGCTCTCACGAAAGACGGGATTTGGTGGTTGGGGATGAGGAGGTTGCGGTACAGTAATCGGAGCAGCTGCTGGTCCAGCAGTTGTCTGCGGGACCGTTCCAACGCTGCCAGGTGGCCTACCAGGTGGAGGAAGGCGGACTACTGGCTTGCCGTTCTCTGTTGTGACCATAGTGTGTCTCGAGAGAACTGAACCCGCCGGCGAGTTGTATCCCTCTTGAGATGGCGCCTTTCCGAATGATGATCTTCGACTTACGGTGATACTCGATGTGTAGGTAGAGTTTGCATAAAGGCTAGGACGCCGTCCTCCGTAGAATCCGCCACGACCACGACCTCGAAATGTCTGTTGGTTGGGTCGTAAAGCTCGTGGAATGAAAATGAAAGATCTCTCTGTCGCAGGTAGGATATACCTAGGAGGTTGGCCTGGTAGTGAGATTCGAACGGGCTTGTCTCGACGTAGAGGGGGACGATGTTGAGGTAAACGTGTGTGCTGCTTCTTTGAAACAGAAGGATAAGGGACGGGATGCTCCATGCCCGGTAGGGATACTACTACAGGCACATTTCCAATCAATGTAGTGCTTGAAAAAGACCTGTTGGGGGGTGACGATCTAGGGGCCGTTGGAACAGGTTTCGGAGGTATGATAGATGTCAGCGCCGATGTGGTAGAGGGCTTTGACCCAGATGGCTCATCTCCAACGACTGTATCGTGAAGATCATGTGTCCACAGTCCCTCGCTGGCAACTGGTTTGGCAGAAGTCCTGGAAACAGTCAGAGATGCATTGCCATTTAAGTGCTGATGTGTTGCCGCCAAGATGAATAAGTGTGCGGTCGAAGGAATCATACCTGCGAACATTACCATCCACGATGAGGCCATACGGCCTTGATTTCGATTTGTTAAACGGCTTGTGGCCGTTTGTCACTGTTTCCGTAGAACGCTTGTCATGTAGAAAGAAGCTACCTCGGGTAGGCACAAACACTGGGCTTTCATCCTTTTCCCTTATGTGTCTTTCTTGTTCACGACGCTTTCTGTCCAAAAATGTGTCTCGTTTTGGTTCTGTCGGAGGGGCAGACGGTGCTCTTTCGGTCTGATGGTTGGGTTCCCCCTTCAAGTCGTCGAAGTGTACCTCCATCACGTCGCTCGATTCGTCCAATATTTTCAGTCCATTCATCATTGCCTCCGTATCCGACACAGCGGTCATCAGGGGATGTTTCCTAGGTGAGGCAGAATGGCGCCGTGCCAACTCTTGGTTTGTTTCGGGCACACGACCATTAATTCGACGACGACCGTTGGCACCGACCTGCGGGGACGTAGACACCACATCGTCATCGCTGTCATCGCTGCCTTCACCATCGGCATCATCGTCATCGGGGTTGCTAATACCAGACCCATCACTCAAAGAATCATCCTCCAATTCTCCATCTATAGAGCCTTCATCCTCTCCTTCCTCATCTCTTCTCTTTCGCCGGCTAGCACCGATATTGTGACGACGGGGAGCCATCCAAGCGGGGGGAAATAAAGAAAAAAAATTAGTGCTATTAAATGGTCGTATCCGAGGGTTATCTGGGTTTTAAAACGCTAGAAACAGGTCGAGGAACGGTCGCAGCTACCTGGGATAGATTGCGGCGAGACCGGCGGCGTTGGAGGAAAAGGTGGGCCAGACTGTGCACGACAACAACGGAATGGAAACAAGTTTGATGCTTCTTCACGGGGTAGAGCAAGAAAGGTGTGATGGACAGTATTGAAAGAGAAAAATAAAGAAGTATGCACCTCAGAAGCGAGGGCACGAGGAGTAGGAAAAGGGCGGATAGTCTAAAGGGCGCAATAACTTTGGTGGTTTTTGAGCATGAGCCTTGAGCCATGACATCTCCGGTCCACGATGTCAAACCTTCCCAATCCGGTTAGCGCCCCAAACCACATCAGCGATTCTAGAACTAAGAGGGATCTACGAGACATTGGCTGAAAGTAAAGAAATTCAATGTCAGTTAGTTTGAAGGACTACCGCGTTATTGACGAATACCATATTAATATTGTTATACACCACTGGCTGTTACATAAGTCATTGGACCAGCAACAAAAGCGAAACGCAAAGGGAGTCGACTCTACAAGAGTTTGTTGAAATGCCCACACTGCCATTATCGACGCTGTTGTGGCTGGTTATGTATACTTAATAATAAGGTACTCGTAGAAGGATTGGAAAGAAGATCAACTTATATAGCTATTATAGACACTTATTATGTCAGCTATTTGGCTTAGATACGGATTGCTGCTCCTTGGGTATCAATAATCTGGAGATCTATTCGCCAGCTGGGTCAACAAACGCCCGGACAGGAGCCAACTGTTGATCATTACCATGTAAAATCAAGGCTTCCCGAACGATATCAGACCCTTGGGGATGAAAGAAGCTAAAATCATGAACAACTCTCGGGCCTGTAGTTCGTTTTTCTCCCATTGAGGAGCTCCTGGGTACTAATATCTTCACTTGTAATAGCCACAAGCTATTCTCTTGTCTCTTTGAAGAGAAAAATCTTGGCCATTTCAATCGAACGTAGTCTTCTTTCCCTGAGACTCAACAATGGCACCACTAAGCTTTTGCACGGTTTCCTTGTCGTATCTTGAGTAATCCGTCTTTTCCTGCGTAGTCCTTGCGGATCGCGATCGTTGAGGTGGTCTTCCGGTTGCATCCTGGTCCTCAAAGGGCCCTGTCTCACTAATATCTGTAGTTTGATTTTTCTTGCCTTCGCCGTCCTTACCAAAACGTTTCTTGTACCGTGTTGTTGCGTCTTCTGCAAACTCCATCCGCATACGTCGACCCAAAATCTGGTTTACCCATACCCTTCTTTGCTTCGGCTTCTTCGGCTTCTTGTTATTTTCGGAGTCAGACCCATGTAATTCTTCATCTTCATCGTCTTCGTTAACCATAACAAAGCCTCTCACCGCTGCTTCTGCGGCTGTGAGGTCTTCGAATGTCACCCAGGCATAGCCTTTGCATTTTCCGGAGTCTTGAAAAGTCGCTACTTGTACATGTGCAACCGTCCCACATTTTCCAAAGTGCTCCTCGATGATCTCTTTTGTGGCGTCAAAGCTAAGGTTGCCGACGAATATACGCTTGGAGGGAGGGTTACCAGAGGCCGACCCAGCAGCGCCAGCCTTCTGATTTTCCTGTTGAGACTTTTCTGGTCTACCGACAAAATTCTTTGCATCCTTTATAAGCACACGGCGCCCAGATAGGAGTTGTTCACTCAGCCCCAATGCCTCAGTCGTGGCCTTCTGGTTGGAGAAATCAACATATGCGAATCCTTTATTTTGTGCTCTACCATTCTTTTCCGATGGCTTCGGTAAATGTATTCTAGTGATCGTAGTTTCCGTGAAAGAACAGTTGCTTGTAAAGAATTTGCGTAGGTCATCTTTACCAACAGAAAACGCTAGGTTTCCAATCCAAATGCCGTAGTCTGAGCGTTTCTTGGAATTTTCTTCATGGTCTGCAGCGACTTCCGTCTTCTGTTCGCTAGTAGTAGTCTCTGGTGGAGCCTCGGCAGATTTCTTCTTTGCTTTACGCAACGCTTTTTTCGATGGGGGTTCAGGAGCAGAGACGTCGATCTCGATCTCGGATACCTCTGGTAACTTCCGCTTTTTGTGGTTTGCTTCATCAACTGCCGACATTTTGCTTGCAAACCCAAGCGACAAAGGAAAGAGAACAGAAAGAAAAAGAAAAGAAAAGAAAAAGTGCGTTAATTATTAGCAGCTGAACAAGCACTGAGTCAGATTGTGGCACGATCTATCGGTATGAATGTTCTAAAAGGACTTTGTTAGGGAATAAGTAACTCATTGTTGAGAGGAAACTTTTTTCCTTCTCTTTTTTCCTTTCTTTTGACGGGCAGAAACGTTCCGCCCGGATCATTTGGTCCACAAGGACCTCTTGGCAACACTACCAGATCCCATAGCCGCTGAATGCGCGATCAAGGTTATTACTAGAATTGTTGAACTTACTCAACTCCGATACGTTATTATACTCACGTGTTTGTGACAGTTTTGACCTTTTCTTGTCAAACTCAACACCGTTGCTTCTGCTACACCATGTCACAAGATGCAGATGATGCCCAGTCCCTGGCTGAAAGCCTCCCCGATGCTCCCGCAGGTGCCCCTACCAAACAGTCTTACCGGTCTTTTAAGTAGGCGCATCTGTTCATGACTTTATCCAGTGCAGTATGCTAATCTGTCTCCCACAGAAAGAAGTTTGCGAAGCTTAAAGTAAAATTTGAGCTTGGAATGAGAGAGAGCGAATCGCTTATCCGAGAGGAGTTGCGCATCCAGGATCTCTCAAAGAGAATACAGGAACAGAATGAGTGTGTTCCCCTGTCTATCTTTCTTCATGTATGACTCACATAATAATACTGTGTAGCCAGCTACTAGAAACCCTCCTAGAGTTTAACGACAGTCTATATATCTCACCGGACCTACGGTACGATCTGAGTGCTCCCGGAGATGATCTCTTCCCCCCAACTCCTCAAAGAGAGCTATCGCCCTCACACAATGATCCTTCTGCGGCTAGCGCAATGCTCAGAAATGCTAGAATGGAGCTGACACTTGATGGCATGACGGTTGAGAATTACTGTGACTTGGAGAATTCTGTGAAACGGAGCGATGCTTTTGCACCACGCATGCAGTATACCTCGTTGATAAGGATCCCCCATACGCTTTCTCAACCAGAAGAAAACCAACCCGGAAATATTGTTTCTGAACATAGGCTTGGGTTCTTCACGCCTGAACACGAAAATGAGTATTACCTGGCTACCGACGCCAAACTAGGTGATACATCAGCACTCGTACAACTGAGTCGCATCCCTGAGAAACTTTCTTTTGTTGAACGTGAGAGAGAGGCTGCATTGCGAAATCCAATCTCGGTTTACAATTGGTTGCGAAGGAACCAGCCTCATATTTTCTTACAAGACAACGAGAACGCTTCCGAGAAGTCTGCCTCTCGACCATCGAATTTGCGCACGTCCAAGAAAGCAGCACCCAACCAGGCGCGGAAAGACGAAGATCCCCACGATGACGACAGTGTCTTAATGGATACTGGAGGCTCCAAGGGCAAACGCAAGCGCGAAGAAGACGTTGGTTCTAAATCCAAAGGTGGTAGCAGCAGCCGGTCAAGTCGGAAAAAGAAAGACGATAGCAGCTCTGGCGTCGTCAAGCGTTCATCTAAGAGAACATCGGGGGTAGGTGCCTGAAAGCTCTCTTCTTTCATTCAATACATGTATTAATAGTGTTGGCTTTTGTAATTTTTCTATTTTCTTCTTTCGCTGCATCGATTTGTACGGACGTTACTGAGGAAGTCCTGAAAGATGGATTGCACTAGCTCATCAGAATAATACCGGAAATGGTGTTCAACATTTCCCGAGCCCAGTCATAATTATCTGGTCTGTGTCAAAACTGCGGGCCATGGCTGGACCTGTTTTCCTATGTCGAAATTATGTCGAGATTATTGAGAAAAACTTTTATTGTGCTACCTCTCAGTTCCTATGGTTGACTCGGCCATTTTTCCTTCTTTCTTCCTTCCTCACTTTCTTGTTCTTGAGGGTGAATTTCTGAGCTAAGGATGCCTAACTGATACTGAACGAGACCGGAACGAACTGAGACACCATGTCGCAAATACTATACTAATAAAGACCATTTATAGGACCAAGGCACAATCCGCTGAATAAAGCACGCGATAGCATCATATTCGAGCTCTACAGTGTATATAGTAGATTGCATGTCTTTTATGCTCCCCAATTTATATTCAATTCTTATTCTTACAATTTTCGTCATACCTTTCTATAATTTAATTTAAGTTTATATTATATTAATGTTAATACATTCCCCGCCCACTTTTGTATAGGAAATTGGACGTGAATGATATGTTCACTGTCTATGATTCATCATGCTTACAGGCCGTTGTGCATAAAATCGATACCGAGTCCCCACTCCAAGTTTGTCATGTTTGCTCCCTACACAGAAAGCCTTTCTCACCATCATATGTTAGAACCCTTCCATATCAACATGTCACAATATACCATACTTCATAAATGTTTTGACAGCCAGACATCCGGCAGTTGAGAATTTTCAGAGCATGGCTATCACAATTCTTCCCCCGGTGGTCGACCATGTCGACATATCCCACTCGGACTCTGACGTGGATTCCATGTCCGTGGACTCGGATGGAGGAGTAGACCTAGCAACAGGAAGGACCTCAAGGCCGAGCAAACGACCTCGCTTAGTGGAAGGAACAGATATTACGTCAGGAGTGGTTACGCCTGGAGAAATTGTGACGGATGATCCACAATGGATGAGGTTGGTTGGTCCCATGCGAGGTTTTAGATGCGTTGGTACTTCATGGGCAAGCTGACAGGCATCCAGAGGACATGGTACCTATATAAACCCCCTTTCGACCTCCATAATTGCCACGGTTGCCGGTACTGTTCAGAAGACCAACAAACTTCTTTCCGTACAACCGCTTCGCGCTCGTTATACTCCAGAAATAGGTGACCTTGTCGTGGGGCGCATTGTTGAAGTTCAGTCCAGACGATGGAAGGTAGATGTTGCTGCTCCGCTCCTTGCACAGCTCCCACTGTCTGCGATCAATCTCCCGGGCGGTATTTTACGTCGGCGAACTAGCGCCGATGAACTACAGATTAGAACTTTCTTCAGTGAAGGTGACCTAGTAGTCGCGGAAGTTCAGACCGTACATTCTGATGGTGCAGCTTCACTACATACGCGGTCTTTGAAATACGGAAAACTCAGAAATGGGGTTTTTCTTGCCGTGACCGGAACAGGTGGTAGTGGAGCTTCAAGTTCGATGGTAAAAGGAGGAGTGGGGTCTGGACCTATCCCTGCAGGAGCGATGGGCGCATCAGGCACGGGAGTAGTTAGGTCTCGGAGACAGGTGTGGACAGTCAACACCGCCAATGGAGGTGGCGATGTGGATGTCATACTCGGAGTTAACGGGTATATCTGGATTTCGAAACATGCCGATGACACCGCGGCCGCGTCTTCCACCACGGATAGCGTGTCGATTACCCGCATGGAGGAGATGGTGTCGAGCTCTATATACTCTAGCCAAAACGATGATATCCCGCCTCAAACAAGGCGAGAAATTGCACGACTAGCGCAGTGTATCCGAGTACTCGTTCAAGGGGGAGTGCGGGTTGACGAAGAGACCGTGATGAGCGCATATGAGGCTAGCTTACAAGTGGATTTAGAGGTTGGTGACGATGATGATGACGACGATCGGAGAAGAGAAGGGAGAGAGTATCTTGAAGGGAACAAAGCGCGGAGCATACTGGAATTGGTTTTGGAACGCAATTAGATCTCGGTTCTGGGATGGCTTCTTGTATGTCTGCGGCAAAAGAGAAAAAGAAAATATCAATAATAGATACCCCAGGGTAATGGACTATTACAAAGGAGATGCACAGTCATGGCTTCTCTAGACTACATATTATTGAGATGGCATGTCGACCAGTTCGTGCTACTCCATAGAAACAGTCGGGTGGATGCCTCAGCTGCCAGGCGAACCTGACTACTACGCCGGAGTACATACTTTTTGACGAAAGAAGATAAGCCAGACCCCGCATCACGTGGAGATAACTATAGGAACCATTGGTGGCATGGGATGTAAATGTAATCGCCATGAGGTGGAAGATCTGGGATCAAGTGCGCCTTGAGTACGAACGAATAGGATAACACAGGGCCTGCTAATTGGGGGGTTCCTACTATTTGAATGGCTGTGGTGAATAGTCCAGATGCTAGGTACATTTGATGCAGGTTAAAGAAAACTTATTATTATTATTTTCTTCAAAAAAAATAGAAATAATTTAAAGAATAATAAAATAAAATAAAATCACGGGATTCATCCTATTAGATATGGTAATCGCCGCCTACTGGATTTAAAAAGATTTCTTCTCATCTCTTCCTGTCGCCCACCCTCTGAGCCCTCAAATACTTTTGTATCTTCCTACCTGAAGACGTATCCTACCATGAACTTTGTCTCCGAGAAGTTATTCCTATTGTCAACTATTTCCATACCTCTCGCATAGCCCTACTTTGACCGACACTATTCTACTGCCGCATATTACGGCTACCCTCGAGGTCTCTATTCATATAGTCTTCTTTGCTTCTAAAACTTTATCATCCTTTTTGCCCTTCTACGGATCATACCTCGTTTAACAACGATCGTTGAATCCCAAGGTTAAACATGCCTGATCTTCGTCGTCAGGTCTTTGAGAGTGGTAAAACTATCTCTCGGAAAGCAGCTTCGCGTGAAGGTTCTCGCCGGACTTCACGCACAAACTCTGCTCAAAATTCCCACCAGTCTTCTCGAAATGCAAGCAGGCATCCGTCCGACGAGGAAGACGCTGGGAATCTCAGTGATGACACCGCTTTGAGGTGAGTTCGTCGTCTCCATTTCCAATTTCTGCGTTCTTGTTTTCATCGCTAGTGGCGGAATGATGTCATTGGCGTTAACAAGGGAGTAAAAAAAATAATAATTATTGATCGCACGTTACTAATGGTAATCCACTCGTCAGCATTGGCTCGCTGGACGATTTGACCGATAACCCTGAGGTTGACAACAACAATTGGGCCCAAGAACTTGGCGATGTCATCCAAGATATCTTGATCGCAAGCGTAGCAGTGTACTGAGCCGCGAAGAATGCTACGCTGCATTCTGTCGTCTTTTGAAGTGTCACTATGTCGAGGAACGCATTCGAAGCAGCGTCAACGACCTTTTGGGCGCCTTTTGCCGGAGTGTCAAATTTGAATCTAGTGTGCGTGAGACTACCTTGGCTTTGCGAGCGCTTGAGCTCCTTGTCATCACCGCGGTCGACAACGGCATCTATGAAAATGTGGAACCTATACTCACTCGTGCTATTCGAGACTCGACATCCAATCTTGTAAAGACTGCCGCCATTCATTGTCTAGGCGCATGCACTATTTTCGGGGGTGCAGGAGAGGATGGAATTCTTGACCAGATGACGTTCTTCCTAGACATTGCAGCTTCTGATGGGCAGTCAATCGATGCTACCGACGACCCGAGTAGTGTCACCGCGGCTCTTCAGGAATGGGGTGTTCTGGCAGTCGAAATAGAAGACCTCGAAGGTGAAAGCGAAGATGCAATTCAAATCTTCATGGACCAGTTAAACAGCAGTGAGTCACCTGTCCAAATCGCAGCAGGTGAAAACATCGCATTACTGTACGAGAAGAGCTACACCCCCCAAGAGGATGACGATGACGAGGATAGCGAGCCCGAGTCAGACGGTGAATCTCTAGACGACCGACAGGGGCCTAAATTGATTAAGCGCTACGAAGCCTACCACAATACTCACGAGCTTGAGCAGCAACTCCAGTCACTGGCCACGGTACATAACAAACGCATCAGCAAGAAGGATAAAAAGAACCTACACAGCAACTTTGTCTCGATTTTGACCACAGTTGAGGATCCGCGTCGCGGTCCGATGTACAACACAGCCATCGATCAAGACACCAATCGACATTACGGTAGCAAGCTGACTGTGAAGGTCGGCCGACAGGGTGTGATGAACATCGACCGGTGGTGGAAATGGATTCGGCTGAATTCACTCCGACGGATACTCCAGGGCGGATTTGCGGTGCATTACTATCAGGCAACCGAGCCGTGTTGGATAGTCTCCCGGTCATGGTTCGCCAGCAGACACCGGCTGACCGGGGGGCAGCAAAGAAGACTGCGAAGTCGCGGAATAGTCGACGGTGGGCTGTCCATGAGCAGTCGGATGAGGATTATTAGTTTTAGTTCGTCAGCTTTTGTCTTATCGTTTCGGGTCAACTCGCTAAACATACATCATACACGAAGATGTGTAATCATGTTGGCTATGTTCTCAATCATTTCCGTTACTGTATATTTTCTCATATTTTTCCTTGGCTAGTTTGGTTTGCAAGCAATCGTATCTAGTAGACTACTTAACGGAAGATTCTCTTCAGATCGATAGCATCTTCTTCAATCTTTAGTCATAGCATCTACCCTAGGTGAATCATCTACGTGGTACAATTGTCTTCGTGTTCTGAGAAGGACACCGTACGACAATATAGATAGCTAGTCATCGGAAACACATGGCCACGGCAGTCCAGATCATAATGACATGACTATATATACGAAACGGACATACATACATATGCGCTGACTCCAATGTAAGAAGAATAAAGTTACGTTTCAAACACTGGAACCACACCGGCCCAAGTTCCTTTCGACCGTTCTTCCCAATATCCCTCTTTACCCGACTTTAGACGCCACACGACTTCGCCTTCATTTCCGGCAAGATCATCGTCCACCCGGGTAAACCACTTTGGATTCCACGATTGACCTGCTGATTCCATCTCGCGGCGGCGGGCACGTTGGGATTCTTCCAGCTTGACCTTAACTTCCTCTGCCCGGTCAACGTCACCGTCTTCCAAGGCCCGTTGGTCGGGGCGGAGGCGCGAGTCCGTCGGCGGAAGCTTGTGATCTTCGATTGGGGTGATCTCATTGAGGGTGGCTGCGAATACAGTGAGGCCGTAGTGCTTTGGTGCGTTGGATACCAACGGCCCGGCATTCCACACAGGTGCTGTGGCAGAGCCATTCTTAGTCATCTGGAGTGAAGTGGTCCAGGTACCCGTTAGCCCGAGAGGTAATTCACGACCGCTAGAGTCCAGTGCTTTCGTGACGACCTCCTCGCTGCGGCCGGAGAACATGCCTCCTGCCTTAAAGGTCGACACGGTTTTCTGTCCAGTCGTCTCGTTCACAACCGACATTTCGCCGACAGGCTCGGAATATTTCTCACCTGCGATGATGTTGCGCAGGAAAGACGTGGCATTGGACCAACTGAAATGCTCACCGGTCGTATGTAGTGTTAATCTCATCTTTCCTTCGGTCACAATCTCTGCGGATTTCCCCCAGAATTTCTGCGTTGGCATGGGTGATTGCGCAACACTCCAATCCTTACTGTCAGCTTGGTAGGCTAGTTGCACGGGCCGGTGAGAAACTTTCTCTGCAATGAATCGGTACCCGAGATCTTCGCGGACAAGCTCGTATGTCTCTCCTAGCATGGGATTGAAGGGCTTCCGAATGGACCGCTCCTTGACCCGGTTGCAAGACAGTGATGAGAGTGCGTAGGCAGTCACATACATAAGCCGTTCGACTGCATCGGAAGCGCTAGCAGCATGGTCTAGCAGCATGGAATATTCCATCACCTCGGCCGCACGTTGTAACAAGGAAAACGGCTCGTTAGAGGACACTGGCATCGAGATTTGGGAAAGGTCTTTACCGACGTTCTTGCGGAGGAACCCGATCAAACTGGGAGGCATAACTGTCGGGGCGGGAATGTTCGAACGACGAGGAACTTTGCTGAGCGGCAAAGGAGTGAGTGATTGGTTGGGAGGAAACAGCGGGGCGTATCGATCACCCTGAGGCGTGGGAGTTTCAGAGGCTTCATCGTCACTGTCCGACGGCGCGTCGTCCACCACGACTTTATCCTCCGCCTGCCGGGCAGTAGCATCGGTAAAGTCAGCTGCCCCTTCGTCATCACTATCACCCTTTATCTTTAACAGCGGAGACGAACTGCCTCCGTCGACAGCATCGAAGAACTCCTGAGACAAATCCGATTCTATGCTGAGTCGAGACTGAGTTGTCAGGCCGGGTGGATGTCGTCGATGTTTGCTTTCCGCGATCAAGGTCGAGAATTCGGTAACGGCACTGTCTAGATCGCGTAGCACGGCCATCAGATGGTCATGTATCTCTTCCATCTGATCTGGGTGGCTGGTGATGCTACTCGGTTTACGGTCACCTGAGAGCGAAGCAGTGTCTCCAGAGGAGGGACCTGGCACCACTAGTTGCGTGGAGGAGGGCGTGTTCGTCGTGCGTTTGACTCCACCCAGTTGGGAACTTCCACTGGCTTTCCGTTTCCAGAAGGAACGCTTCTCACGCGCCTCGAAAGACTCATCGCCATTTGTCTCGGGATGTGGACTTGGTGACCGACCGCGAGGCCGCTCAGGAGCGCTGTAGCTCAAGTATTTTGGATCGGTATCCTTGGCCAATCGGCGTACAGCATCCCTGGATCCAGATATCTTGCTCACGAGGCTCTCAACCTGCGCCCATTCCCGCTCCTCCGCAGCATTGGTGAGAACACGCTGTGACGGTACGCGCAGCAGGGGTTCGGGATGCTTTCTTCCGCCGCCGGGGTCTTAGAGGAGGATGCTCGTTCTAGAGCCCGCTTCCATGAGATGAATTCTTGGTCATTGCTGGCTCTAAGGTGCCAAACTTCAGTGCCGGAGTCAATTGAAATCTCGCGTGAGTTCTCGTTACACGCGACGGCTGCTAAGTTTAAAGGGATGGAACCGCGTAAGGCAGACGAGTTCGGATCGTGGTAATAAGACAATGTAGACGATGTGAAATCCAGCGAAAAGTATCTTCTTGCCCAGCCCTGATGACGCTTCCTTCGTCGTTTCTGTAATATACCGGTGTGAACTGAGGCCGGATTAGTGTTGATAGATGGCGGTAGAACCTTCGCGGAGCTGTTTCCTCGTCTTCGCGAAGCCAGTGGCTTTCCAGATTCTGAGGAGTCGGTTCCACGAGACGGTAGAACCGCTGCGTGGGGTACTGGTGCCGACTGTGGGGACAAGGCTGTTGGATAGGTAAGTAGCACGAGAGTCACAGTCTTAGAGATCTGTTTAGAGAAGGTATTGTCAAAAACGAGCGCGTAATTTCCACCCTCATTCGCAGGCACGTCGTAGGTGCCCTTGACAATCTTGTCAGCCTCGCATTTGCCAATCCAATGAATTTGTTTCAGTCCAATGCCCGTTAGTCGTTCAATAATCGGCGTGGAAGCATTTTGTCGGGAGTTAGCATTCAGAGCGGTGGCTGGCAGGTTTTCATTCGAGTCCGTGCTGTGCGAGTCGGCAGGGGGCGAATTGTTGGATCCCAGGACGGCCGAATGGCCCGGATGCTTGAAGATGCCAAAGTTGAGAGACTTCCTATGCGGTTGAATGCTCCAGGAGATCGTGTGACCAGGTTTAACATTAACCCAACGAACAAAGTAGGACTACAAAGAAGAAAGACGACCACATTCACCGGTTAGTCGAGGGTTCCGCAAGTACGTCATTTTCGTCATATGCCCCTTACCTTGCTGTGGATCTCCAACTCCTCCATAGCCGCCATGACTGCGCAAAGAAGGCAAACGGGCCAGGTAGACAATTACTCCGTCAGTGAAAATCAAGAGGAGAATGATCTGGCTTGGTCAACGCCAAACTGAAGGGAAAGGGGAGCAGGTGAAGATGAGAAAGTATGGGTGGGGGATCGAATGCGTTGAAATCAAAACAATGACTTCAATGCGCCCGTCAGTGGGTGGGAATGATGGATTGACTCTCCACCGACTGGTCATCGAATTGCCCCGTAAGGCCGACGGTACGATCTATAAATAGGAAATCCGACCCTGGGTTTCAGGGGAAAGAGTCCGAGGAATTCTTCGAACAAGCCGAGAAAAAAGAACCTTGAAGGGGGTCGAGGTTGGCTGGAGTCAGCAGGCGGAGAGTGCGGAGTAGTTGAGCCTCCGAGAACCACCGACGCTTCAGTGCTTCACATGTCCCCCCTGGTCGATCCCTGCACTGCTTAGATGCCGATGCCGACAACGACCCTAGGTACATGTCCCGTCTTGCAATGCCTGTGGTAATTGACTTTTCTCTCTCTCTCTCTGTGGAAAAAAAATTAAAAAAGAAAAAAAAGAAAAGAAAAAAAAGTTAAAAGGGAAAAAAAAAACTATAATTTGTCCAACAAGAAGAACTCGGGTTATCGTGCCAATGCAAAAATGTTCCATCTTTTCTGTCCGCAATTCCAAAGAAAAAGAAAACTTCAGAAATCTCAACACCATCCAAATTTATAATAGGATATTACACAGTATACAGGAGAAATACAGAGGGAAAAGAAAATAGCATAGAAGTCACCTCCCCCGTCACCTCCGTTTGCCCGCTTGCATGTTGGTAAATAACAACTTAAATCCATTGCATAACGCCCGCATGTCAGGATAGGGATTGCGTTGGAGCTCGTAGCCTTGAGGAATCACCTTTACTGGCCAACTATGCAGTCGCGCGTTTTCGCCGGCTTTAAAGCAGAGGAAGAAGTATCCGGCATGTTTGGGATCAATACAGAAAGCATAGGCGGATCGTTTAGGGTTAGCTTTCGTATAAGTCTCCAACCAAGAATCTGCAGGTTTGATCAGTTATAGACCACGTCATCGTGTGTGTGTGCACAATAGAAACAGTAGCAGAAGAATCGGGCTGGGAGAGGGGAAACACTTACACGTAGCATCCTTGGTGCCGTCCTGGTACTTTTCATGCAGCATCATTTCGTCCACCTTCTTGGCCATCGCTTTAACATGGTTGAAGATCAAATCATCCAGGTCACTGTAGGTATAGCGACCCCCAACCTTCAGAGTCCGTCCAACAGAAAACTCGTTTTCCTTGTCCAACTCCAGTACATCGATGTGCTGGAAGATGCCATCGGCCACCTTCCATGTCACAGCCAGATGGTCATGGCCCTTTGACGACGGTCGAATAACCACATCACCCCGACTTTGCGATCCCAGAAATTCTTCTGCCTGGGTCGAGTTGAATGGCCTAAACAGCGGGTGCTTGATGACTCGCATCGTTCGTCCACCACTTTGAGTTTTCTCTTGCAAAGACTCGCGATCCTGTTGCTCTTGCCGGTCATCCCATTCTCCGCGCAGGCGGTCTTGAGTGTTGGACACTGGGCGACTGACTTGCTCCTCCCGCAGAGAGACGTTGCAGGTGAAGTTTTTACGGTTCAAAAACAGTATCTTGGCCGACACGGTCTGATGCGGTGAGTATAGTGCTCGCACGGGTATATCATATCGGTCGGTAAGCTCTGACTCAGGAACGAGGGCGTCGATACCACAATCCAATTTGCCGTCAATGTGGTCGTCAGAGACTCGCTTAATGGAGATCGGTACTACCATGCCCTCCGCCAATGTGTCCAATGTCTCACCCGTGAGCATGGTAAAGATGTCATCTGTACTGAGGAAGACATATGCTTCCGCAGTTCCTCGTACGGTTGTTGCAGCTCTGCCCGGATTGTTTCGAGGGTGGCGCGTTTTCGCTGATTTAGATTCTTTTCCAGCTGTTCCGCATACTCCTCCAGAATCAGATCATTGACTCGGTCCTGTGCTTCTTCACGGAACAGTTTACGCACGATGGCGCCTGTACCGTTTTCGTCCGTTTCCGCTTTGATGTCTTCCTCGTCCAACTCCAAGGCATCGGCGGCCATCTTCCGAGCAATATCGTAGTCTTCGGGGTGCACTCGTGTGTTGTCCAGTGGATCCGCATCCGGATCGACGTTCTCGAAATCAATGTACAAGAAGCTAGCGCAGTTATTCCAGACCTTGACGCCCATTGCTGGATACTGCGCATTCACGCCCAGAAGTTCTACACGATTGTTCACCACGCCGCCGTTCATGTTGACGATCTTGAGCAAATGAGCTGCCTTACGAGGACCAAGACCACAAACATAAGGAAGAAGGTTGGCCGTCGAGGAATCTGTAACCGCTTCATTGATGTCCACACCAACAAGGTTAACCATATCCACCAATGCTGTTTCTAATTGTTTCAGAAGTAGCTCTTGGGTGACCAGCTGCTGACCCGGCTTGAACTGAATAGAGATGATATCCCGGCCGAGCGAAGCATACTCTTTCAAGGGACTCTGCAGATACTTAGCCAAGGCAACGCAGTAATGTGTTAAAGGGGCAAAGCTGGGGTGGTCTTTCTTTGCCCGTTCACTATGCTGATAGAGGCGCGCCACCTCGTCGTTCACAATGACCACCTCCAAGCGATCACTGATTTCTTCGTCATGGTCATCGGTGTACGGGGCGCCGCGTAGGTCCTTTTTGTCGACAACCTCAGCTAGGAGTTTGTATAAACGACGAGTCTCGGGGGACATGCCGCTGACGCCAATGACATCTGGTCGGCGGCGGTCCACAAGCTCCACAAAGGCATCAACATCCTTGCCATCTGGGATGTTACGATCACGATCTCCGATTGACAAGTCCACAAACTTTCCATTCTCCAACACACGGCCGTCCTCTTCGATGTAGGCCCAATGTATAGGTTCCCGTCCCACAACGCCACTCCCGGTGGATAAAGCCAAAACACGGGGAACAGTTCCCAGCACCATTCCCTTAGGCTTATACGGGGCTTGATCCAATCGCTGCGAGAAAGTTTCTCGGCATTCCTTTGCCACATGGTTCTCGCATTCCTGGCGAATGTTCTCTTTCACACTGCGGTTGATCAATCGCTCCAGCTTACCAAGAGCCAGGTCCAAGACGTCCCGCCGACTACGGTTCCAGCCGTCCGCGATTTCGCTATAGTTATCGGATTCAATATCGGGATACAGTCGTTGGCGGAACTGGTCAAAGTTCTCAAAGCGGACCTTGACTTCCACCAAGCCCTCCTCTTCGGCCTTAAGCATGCGAAGATAAAGCTCCGGTCGGCGAGCAATGTCACTGAGCTGCTGGTTTCGAAGGTATTTGAACTCGTAGTAGGGGTGCTGCTCGTCGATTCTACGGAGGCCCTTCTCCGTTCGGAAGCAGTCGACAGCGCCATTCATGTAATACGCTTGGCGAATCACCTTCCGCATCTTAGGGCTCATCACGATTTCCTCAGCGAACAAGCTCTTGGCAGCTTTGATAACATGCGATGCATTGGAGAAATCATTATCCACAAACCCATCGGCCATCTCCTCCGGCCTCTCCGCTGGGTCTTCCGTGTACTGACGACGACCTTCCTTCAAGGCATTTTGCGCAAAAGCATCTGCTGTAATGCCGAATGCACGCACCAAGCTGTATGCCTTACCATTTCGGACACGCTCGAAAAAGGTCTTGCTTGACGCCTTCCGCCGGTGTGTTTCTCCGTTGGCATCGCTGTTCATAAGAGTCATGTCCCGCAGCTGAGACGCATACTGGAAATGAATGTAATCCTGCACATCTTGAAGCTCCTCCATGGTGACAGCTGCTGGGAGCATCTCCTCCACCACAGAGTCACTCACGTTGAATAGGCTCTGCAAATTATCATAGGTTTTCTGTATCGTGTTCCGTTTCTCTACCAGAGCCTTGAACTTGAGATCATGGTCGAATATGTCCCAAAGGTCCGTCATGTTTAAGAGCTTTTCCGCTCGTATCGTGTATTGAGACGCGTCAGCATCTTCTCCGGCACCCTCGGCAGCAGCTTTGACAGCATGAATCATGTAGTCCTTCCGATGCTGGAAGATGAACGGGACTTCCCAATCATCCGTCACTAAGAACTCAAGTACCTTGGCCACGGATCGTTGAAAAGGTTCGCGCAGCTCGGGTTCAATGCGCTTCTTGAGGAGCATGAGGTTAGAGATCCAGGCGGCTTCTTCACGAAATTGCTCTTCGGTGAGGACAACGTTGCGATACGGCTTCCGGGCAATCTGATGTCTTTCTGGTTCATCCAACAGACGGATCTGATTATCCTCTTCCGTCAACATCTTCTCCGCTAGCTGAGAGGGCTCAAACACATCCTTGAGATCCAAGTGTTTCTCTTCATCTTCCTCCTGCTCTTCCTCTTGATCCTCCATCTCCAGAGCAAACAAGTATTCGTTGCCATCCCCAAAGGCCGCGCGCATATCCTCTAATGCGTTTTCATCTAATCCAGCAGCATCAGTAGCTCCTAAACCGGTCATGCCCTTCTTCGCGGGACGGGCAATCTCTAGGTCCTCTCGCTCCCTCTGTAGCTCCTCATCTGAGAAAACGTCCTCCTCGATGAAGTCGTCCATCTCATCATGCATATGTCTCCTATGACCAGGCCTTCCATAGTCGCCTGCAGTTTCCTCTTCTTCATCGGAGTTGAAGATGTCGTCGATGCCTTGAGAGGGCTGTCGAAGATCACGATCTTTGTGTCCTCGTTTCAAGCGCTTGAATTTAGACTAATAAGATCATAAATTAAATCAGCCTGGTGTACTCTATCACATGCGCAGTTTAACTGGCACACGGACGGACTGAATTTTCTACATACCTCTGCGGCAACCGGGGCTTGAAGTGACGGGTTGAGTTCTCCGATGAGTTCCAAGTCTTCCTCATCTAGATGCTCATCTTCGCGCTCGCGTTCTTCCCTGCGTCGCTTCCTCTTCTCCCGCCGGCGCTCCGCGCGGTCTTCAAGTTCTTCATCTTCATCGACAATAAAACCTTCCCGGACCTGTCATAAAGTTATTCAGCAATGGTTCGAGCCTGGTTGCGCCTCCTCGAGTCGGGAAACCTACTGCACGGGCGGCCTCCTCGTCGTCATCGTCATCGTCATCCTCTTCACTTGAGTCGTAGTGGTTTGCAGTGCCAGCACCCTGATGAGCTTCGCCTTCGCCGTCATAGTCATCGGCCAATTCCTCTTCATTCTCCTCATCATCCAACATGGCCTCTCCCTCGACAAGATCGCGGGCGCTCATCTTGTACTTGTTGTGAAAGGCACGCTTCTACGTGCAGGGAGAAAGATGATGGGTGTTTCGGAAAGAATATGGAAGGGAGTCAAAAGAGAAGAACGACTAGAACAAGCCGCCACTAAAGACGGCACCACAGAAACTCCGGTCCAATGGACTCCAACGAATTGTGGGTATTGATGATACTTTGAACACTGGCTTGAATCAACTTGGGGGTTGTCGGCGAGCAAAGAGGCTCTGTGGCGCAGACAAAAGCTTCACCGCCTGGCGGAGCTATATGTGGCTGGGCTACAATATCACGTGTCTTGATGATAGACAAAGATCAGGTGATCTCTTATAGTAGCTCAAGGGGATAAAGAATTGAAGTTGAAATTCGTTGAGAAGAGAGTACGTAATTCATCTCGAGACGATTACGGGCATGTGCTAGCAGGTATTGCCTTGTCACCGTGTCTTCTTGTCTTATGATGCTTCTTGGGCCGATGAATACTAGTGATGCCGCACCCTGAGATTTACATAATTTGGGAGACAAGATGTGATTCCTAGCTAACTATTTCAAGGGCGCAAGTAATAGGTTAACGAGATATATAGGTTGCGAACGAACGTATCGTAGACATCAGCGTCCACGATAGCGTTGCGTAGAATACTCGTAGCTATAAATAACGGGATCCGAAGCGCCAGGCAAGTAACTATTGATCTATAAAAAATTAGCAACTTAACTGGTCCTGTGGTTACACTGAATATTTTACAAATTCCCTGTCGCTTCCTTTTTTCTTTTTCTTTTTTCTTTTTCTTTACTTCATTTTCATTCCTCTCCTTTTTCTTCTTTGCCCCTAAGGGATCCCTCCTCATACTAGTACTTTCATAGTGTCTCCTCTTTGTCCGCAGTGAGACCCGCGCGCTTGTTCCTGGTGGGGATCCAGACTCACTCTCTAACACCTTCTTCTTCCTCCACCCGACAGAAACTCCCACCTTATAGTCAGCGCCTCCGTTCGGCGTTTCATGCAGGACCTTTATTGAAAGATCCCCTTTTTGAAATCTTCCAAAATATTTGGAGACTGTTATCTCACATACAACATTATCCACAGAGAGTTGAGATAACGAATCGAGCCTAGATCGACCGTCGAGTCCCCCACCTTGTCTGCCTTTGAAAACACGGCGCTTGTCCACACCCCAGTCCCAATATACAAACCGCCTTGTTTTTTCTGGCTCTTCAAGTTTCACATTCTCGCTGAATAACCAGCATTTGGTTCTCACCACTTACGAGCAGTCTGACTTTTCAGCTACATTAGAGGATTAAGTCCGACAATTGACAAGAGGCGCTCTCACAATTATTCATACCTTTCCCTCAATTCACCCCTCAGTGACTGCGGCAGAGTAACTCTGTCGTCCAACCATGGCCGACCAATTTAAAGCTCGAACGCTGAAACGCAAAAACGTTAAGGGTCTCGCTCTGAATGCAGCACCCAAACCCCTCTCCAACCCGTCCGATGGCGATGCCCAAGTTCCCGGTGCGATTGGAAATACTGACAGCAACCGCACCGATACGCTGGAGATCGGGTTGGAGTTTCGCCTTGATCTTCGTAGTGAGGATTTGATCACCTTAAAAGAACTAGGGGCGGGAAATGGCGGTACAGTCTCCAAGGTCATGCATGCCTCTACTAAAGTTGTCATGGCCCGAAAGGTGCGAATCGTTTTGTTAGGCGTTATGGGGACCTGCTGATCATATCGTAGATTATCCGTGTCGATGCCAAGGAGAACGTTCGAAAACAGATACTGCGAGAGCTTCAAGTTGGCCACGACTGCAACTCCCCAAATATCGTGACCTTCTATGGAGCATTCCAAAATGAAGCCAGGGATATTGTTCTGTGTATGGAATACATGGACTGTGGGTGAGTGCAAAAGAGTTTTCACAAAAACCTATGCGAAGGTCAAGTATCTAACTGCTTTCCTCGTTAGTTCTCTTGATCGCATATCCAAAGACTTCGGTCCCGTCCGAGTGGATGTACTAGGCAAGATCACAGAGTCCATACTGGCTGGTCTTGTGTATCTCTATGAAGCGCATCGCATTATGCATCGTGACATCAAACCATCCAATATCCTTGTCAATTCGCGGGGAAACATTAAACTCTGCGATTTCGGCGTCGCTACTGAGACTGTCAATTCGATCGCCGACACCTTTGTCGGCACTTCGACCTACATGGCACCCGAGCGCATTCAAGGCGGCGCGTACACTGTCCGTTCGGATGTCTGGAGTGTAGGCTTGACGGTCATGGAATTGGCCGTGGGTCGATTTCCCTTTGATACCTCAGATTCTTCGGCAGGGGACCGAGCTAGCGCTGGCCCTATGGGTATCTTGGACCTTCTACAACAAATTGTCCATGAGCCTGCTCCGAAGCTTCCAAAGAGTGATGCTTTCCCCCCAATCCTGCACGAGTTTGTCGCCAAATGCCTCCTTAAAAAGTCCGAAGAGCGGCCAACACCCCGAGAATTATATGTAATATCCACTTTGTGCTTTGTGCTTCCTTTTGAAGTCGATTGTACTGACTCCGAGAATAGGATAAGGATGCGTTCCTTCAGGCTGCTAAACGCACACCAGTTGATCTTCAAGAATGGGCGATAAGCATGATGGAGCGACATAACCGAAAGTCTTATCTGGCTCCCCCACCGCCCAAGTCTCTCAAAGACGAGAAAGAAGAATCACCGCGCCGTAGCCCCGCCCCAAAGCCAGCAGTTAGCAAATCGTCTCGCACACCACATTACACGCCAACATCTGGAGAGATCCCGTTGAATATGGCCAATGAAATGTCTTCCCAAAGCCGGCATTATCACGTACCGCCGAACCCATCTCCTCGCCCCAGTAGGTCGACCAGATCTCCGCCCGCGATATCACTAGAGCATCTCTCTTTGGAAACCAAGGATGATGATTACCGAGCGGGACGCCACCCCTCTCGTGCGCACTTAGGAGACCCAGTGTCTGCACTGGAGCCACCCTCTCGTCAGCACATCGTATCTCGTTCGGCGAGCTCGCACAACATGAAATCGAGAATGCCACTTCAGACATCAGCTATGCCTGTTCGTGCAGCTCCTCCTCCCAGCGGGCCCTTACCACCGGCTCCAGTACCGGGAGCACCATGGCAACGCCAAGTAAATTAAGTGCATCACCATCACACAACAAAAGCTGTGTACAGTTGCTTTCTCAAATGGGTTAGATCTTATCATAGACTTCTCTGCAAGCAAGACCGGCTGATCGTCTCCCATCTTCGATCGGAAACTTGACCTTTGTCAACTGTCCTTGAGATTATCCCAACTTTTTTTTTTTTTCTTCTCTTTATCTCGTTGTCAACAATTCCATTGACGTTTCGATATTAAACTATTCAGATGACGAACTCCCAACTGATCGCTTGCTTGACCATATTGCTTATGATTATTGCATCAGCAAGGCGTATATTCGTTCATTGGCATTTTCCGAGTCTGCACCTCTTCTTTTTCTATTCTGTTCATTAATTTTCCTCCTGGGCTGGTCGCATATGTTTTGATAGCAATGCCTTTGTCTCTGGTTTATGTCGACGTACATTTACGTTTTTTGCCATTTATTTCCGCCTGGATGTCGAGCTGGCACTCTTGCATCTGTGTTGTTTGTCTCATCATTTGACAATTCCGAATATTCTGTCGATGCAAGGAACGAAGTACATGGATCCTGCATGTGTCACCTGTGTGTATGTACAGCTTTCTCTTCTCGTGGCGAGAACACATCATGGACGCTGGGATCATTTAGCCTTGGGTTGGGACTTGTACAAGATACTTGCGCTTTGTTACAATGGAACACTACAATCCAAGGAATGGGTTGAGCCTCATGGCTGGATAAGATCTTGCATTATCCTTGACCTGATGCCACACGTATACCTGATATAGTGGCCATAATCAAACCGACCCTTCCATCGTGGTTCTTTCAGGATAGAAACATATAGTTTCGCCTCATATTGAGCGGCAGACACGTAAACGAAATATTATAAAAGGAAAAAAAAAAAAAACACCACCCCAGATGATGCAGAAATGAGAAACACCATCCAACCATGAAGGAGATCGGAAGAAAACAAAGAAACCTTAAGAAACCACACTGATAGAAACACATAACAGGCATGTAATACCGAATAGAAGCACAGGAATAGCCTCGCAGCAGAAGCCACCGTTCTACAATTAAACCTTTCATCATCCCTCTGTACCCAAAGGTCCAGTGACGCCAACGAAAGCAATAAACCACATAACCTGATACCTAGACAATGGATCGTACGTCGTGGAGAAAGGGGGGAAATGATTGGAGCTCACTTTTATTTCATGGCCAGTTCAGAACTTGCTACCGGGCTTGGTCCCGGAGGCGTGGGTGCCAAGTTGGGACGCGGTGCCAATTCCACCATTGACGTTGATTTCCCTCCTCGAGCGCTTGCCGAGCCTCCCCGGCCAGCGGTGCCGCCGCCTCGCCCCTGAGATGCGGAAGGTGTGCCGCCTGCTTTGTCCTGTTCCGCCTTGGGCTTTGTACGCGGACGACGGGTAGTACTACCACCCCTGGATCCGGGACCTCGTACAGGGAGACCTGTTTCTTGGGAAATGGGGACGGCGGCTGCCAGTGGCGCTTGATGGGAAGCGGATTGAGGTGCTCGATTGCGACCGCCGCGACCCCGGCCCCTGCCACGTTTTATTGTGCCATCCGCCCTAAATCAAAGCGTTAGTGGTTGAGATCGAACGTATATACATAGGAGGGAACTCACCGTTCGACTTGCACCTTTTCGCCCTCAGGCACCAGAGGGCCACTATATACGAAGAAGCCGTCTTTGCTGGCCGCGGCCTGTTCCTGCCAGGCTAGCTCGCTATCGTCGACAAAAGGATCGTCTCGGTCATACTCTTCCATCTTCTTCTTGCGACGCTTCTTTTTCCCATCTGGAGCCTCCGGCCCGTTCGTGCGAGCTGCTGTGCCGCCCAACGCACTGTCTCCATCTAAGTCACTGTCACGTTCAACTTCGAGACTGAGATCTTCATCAGCACTCTCCCCAGCGGAGAGTCCCCGGCCGGATTTATCATTTCGTTCTAGTGCTGCACCCGCTGCGGCTACACGAGCAAGTCGTTCCTTGTGAGCTGCAAGGCGAGGATGTAAAGCGGCAAAGCCGTATTGTTCCTCGGCCAAGCGCGCAAAGTTGACAATCCTGTTGCCAGTCCCTTGCAATGGAATGTGTATTATAATACTGGGCGTCCGCCGAGAATCAGAATCGCTGGTGGACGCAGCGTCGCCCACGCCAAACAAGGCATTGGAGATCAGTCCTGAGCCTTGAGGCAATGGAGGCGGGGGCTCCTTGGTTGCACGAGAGGGCTTCGGGGACGCAGCGTTCGATGGAGGCGCTGTGGGGGGAGCTTTGGTCTCCTTTTTGGGTGCTTTAGGGGCCGGATGCGGATCCGTATCTACATCCATTGGGGTAGGCCCGGGCGAAGGCGCGCGATGGTTATTAGACGGTGCAGGCGCTGGAGGCTCAGGTGCTACTGATAGACGTGGTGGTGGGGCCGGCGGCGGCGGACCTTGAGACGAAGAATGACCGGAGGACTGTGAATCGTGCGATGGCTGTAATTGTGAAGGGGTTGGATAGGGCGATCGATGGGCGTACGGCGAGATCGGCTGAGGAGGCGGATGTGGCGTCGGAGCGATGACTGGTGTAGCCGCAGGGGAAGGAGAGTATATGGGTGTGCCATGGTTTGGAGAAGCATATGGACGGGGAGCATAGACAGTTGGTGAGGTATTTGTGGGAGGGTCAATTATGCTAGCTATA